GGAATTCAGTGTCCCAGGTCTCATTAACATTCAGAACACCTGAACAAGCCAAGCCTCTGGGAATAATTTGATTTTAATTTCCAAATCACTTGTGGTTAAGTAGATCTCAGTAATGTATTCAAAGTCAATATATTCTATTTAAAAATACAGTGAGAAAAGATTGTTTAGATCCTGTTTAGTTTTGTTTTCCTGTTAATTTATTGTTATGTGCAATCTCCAATTGACAGTAAATCCATGGACCTCGTCATGCAGTTTGAATGGATATTAAAATTAAGACCCTTCATGGCTGACAATCCATCATACTCTGTCCCTACCCCCACCCCACCATTTCCCCCATCCAAACCCTGGCCCTCAGAGCAGCCTTGTGCAAATCTGAGTTCCCTCCAGCCCAGGCTGCACCTGCAGCTTTCAGCTCCTTGGCTCCAACTCCCACCTACTTTCCTTGGAGAAGGAGCTGCCCGAGACACAGAGGGATGTTCATTTCTTGTCAGCCAACAAGGCCAAGGGAAGGCATAGCTCTGTAAAATGCAAAAGTCATTCTTCTCCCTACCTCTGCCCTGCACCTGATCCCCACAGCCTGTCCTGTTCCCTTCAGGAAAAAGTTTCCAGTCCTGGGGCAGCATCAAAGGCATGGGCATGCTGGGCTGCAGGGCACCTTATCTTCTATGACTTTTTTTTTTTTTTTTAGATCGTGGAGGGGCCCTCCCCTGTCTTTGCTGGGTGTTCCTAAAACAATGATAGGGGAGTTCCAAGGGCTGTTGGTTTTGGTGATGCGGCCCTTGGCAAGCTGCTCCTCCACGAGGGCCTCCAGTGCACGTAACTTTGTGTTAGAAAGAAAGGGGCCACTGGTCATTCCACACTGGATGTTGTTGTTTCCAGGTGAGTTGTGGGATGGTGGGTTTCACACACTTCACAGTGGCCCCCACTAAGAATCCCTACTGGGAATTTTTAGAGAGGCGCCCCATTGGGCTAGAAGGTCCCTGCCCCAAAAGGTGATCAGTGCCCTCACCACGAATGGCTGGATGGTTGCCATCTTGCCCTCGGGACCTTCTACTATAATATTTCTCTTACTCCTTATGGAAACCACTGCCCTTCCAATCCCTGAAATCATCCCCGCCACGGGCTGTAGTTCCCAATTTGCTGCCTATTCAGAGCGGGCTATGATGGTAACATCCACCCTGGTGTCCAGCATGCTCAGGCAGTAAATCTTCTCCCCTTTGCAGAACAGGCCACACTCCACGACAGGTTTGTTGGAGGCCACAACCTGCACCCACATGATGGTGGGGTTGAGGGGAACCTGTCCTGGATTGTCTTTAGGTAACGGGAATGCTTGTGCAATAGGAGTCCCTTGTGATAGATAAAAAGGAGGTTCTGTGCAACAGAGCTGTACGAAAATTTCTTCCCCTGGGCCAATGATCTGGACTTTGGAAGTGACATAAATTTGTCCAGGTCCATGAAAAGTGCCTCCCAGAATGAATATATTGGAAGGACCATCGGATGGCCCACATCTTCCCGTTGGCACGCGGTGAAGCATTCCCTGTTAGAGAAGTCTATGGACAGCTGAGTTACCAGCTGGTGCCGGGTTCCCACCTGTCCCGCTCCATGTGTTGGATCCTGCTGATGTCCCTTGGGATCCCTGCAGTGATGATGCTGCTCATGGTCGGCCTGCAGCTCCTGATGGGTGTCAGTTGTCACCATCTGTTCATATGAATGGGGGTTGTGATGGTTTGCTTACTGCTCTTGGAGTGCAAAACCAACACGGAAAGGGGATTGCAGTATCAATCAGAACAAATGCACCTTTATTGAATGACCACAGCAAATGTGTTAATGGAATTAGAGAAAGGAAAAGAATAGAAAAGAGGTGGAGAGAGAGAGAGGGAGCTACCAAACGTAGAGAGAAAAAGTCCTTGTAGTCCAACTGATGGAGTTCGCCTAGTCACATTGGGGAGATCTCAAAAGTCCTGGTAAACTCAAGGTTCTATTATAGTCCATTGCTGAGGAGGGGAACAAATCTTTAAATTGTTGAGGGGGAACAGATGCAATAAAGAATAAGTCTATTGAAATTGCTGAGGGGGAAAGAAGGTATTGAAGACAGGTACAGACAGTCTATGTTCTCAGCAGTAGGTGAGAACCATTGTCTTCTTGGTCCAATGGCCATACCTGCAGGCAAATATCTGGCTTTGGTCAGGTCAGCTCCCCCACACACCTCCCCCATGTTGAGGGTTTCAGTCTCAGTCCTTGGGAAGGGGGAGCTTCTCCATATAGGGTTCTCATATCTCAGTCCTTGAGGGAGAGTCTTCTCCCATCTCAGTCCGTCCATCAGGGTGGTTGAAAAGCAGATGATGGCTCTTCTGTGGGAGGGGGACCACCAAAGGTTACCCCAGAAAAGTCCAACCAGGCCAAGAGGTGGGGAAATCCACAAGCTATTGTCACAGAGCAGGTGCAAGTACATGGGGTGTGTCACCCCCTGGCAGGCCCGGCTAGAAGCAGTCACTGTAGACACAGCTGCAAACAATCCCTTGGCAGGCCAGAATTCTGCTCAGGAGCCTCAGGATTATTTGGCGTTCATCCACCACCGGCAGGCCAGAATTCCAATCCAGGTCCTCAGGGTCTCAATGTCTGTCCTGGGGATGGTCGTGAGGCAAATGAGGGGAACTGCAGACCATCTCTCACACCTTCATGTGCATGCTCTGGGAAGCCAGGAGCAAGCTTCTCCAGGTGCAGTGCCCCCCCTGCCTCCCCGGCAGGGCAGGGGTCAATGAGCCAGTGGTGGCTGTCCCTAAACAGATCCACAGCTGGCTGTAGCAGAGGGGCTGGTGGCTGCCCATGCCGGGGGACGCGCTCCTCCAAGTCTGACTGGGATGTGCCTATCAAGGTGGATTCGCTTTCCCATGGGGTCTGGCCCCTTAGAGTTCTGGAAAGCATTGACCAGATTGATAGTAGTCAAGGTACACTCACATCTCACCTCAGTTCCCCCAGACACAGAGACCCAGTGAGTCCCAGGCCTGCAGATCCAGTGAGATTTCCACATCCACGGGGAAACCATGAATTTTGGCCTAACAGAAAAGCCTGCAGAGAACATCTTGCAACATAGGAAGTCTCATGACAAGTCATAAGTTCCCACACTGCAAGGGTTTCATCTTCTGACATAGAAATTTGGATGCCCATTTCTGCAGGCACCTTTTCCCAACCGCAAGCTCCCCCAGGTCACATTGGGGTTCACCTCTTGCCGTAACCAGGCGTCCCCAAAGGGGTAATAATTAGCATTGACTCCACAATTCTCAGAAGGCTGATCAATCACTTTATTATACTATGCCTTTTAAGACACCCACTGCCCTTAGAGACAGTCACCATACAGGTGGACCTAATTGGTCCTTGAATCCAAACACCATCACCAGTGGCCAATTAAGAAATCACCCTTTGGTAAACAAATCTTCATAACACATTCTACATGTTCACAACAGCAGGCGCAGCAAGTGAAGATAAGAATTATTTCTCATGAATTTCTCTGGTCTTCTCACAGCCTTCCCTAAGACAATACCTGGCTAGTTGTGCCTTGCTCCCTGTGGTCAGAGAGCTGCTGCCACATGTTTGCAGACTGCTTCCATGTCTGCCCTTCCCAGGTGCCCAGGATCCTCTGGGATGGCTCTGGCCTTTCCAAGAGCTTTGAGAGAAGTCTCACAGTGACACTGCCCAGCCTTCTCAACATCCCTGACACCAAAAGCCTTTTCCACATCCCTCAGTGCCAGCTTAGTGCCCAGGACACAGCAGAGCCCTGTCCAGGTCCTCAGGGTGGTTCAGAAGGGAGGCAGCTGTGATTTCTCCCCACAGAGTCACCACTCCAATGTCTCTCTGTGCAGTCTATGGCGGTCCTGAGCATTTTCCCTGGAGCCTCCCTGCCCTGGATGTTTCTTTCAATGCAGTCCTCAGCACAGCCAAGCAAAGAATTTAGGTGGTTTCCCAGAGGACATTCCTCTTGAGTGAAGTGGCCTCAAGGCACTGTTTGTGCCACTGGAATTGTGCCACCCCCGGGTGCTGCTGATGGTGTTTGTACTCACTGGGGTTCATCTCCCCACACACACATGATGCACTGCTGAGATCTCCTCAGTACAGAGCAAACATGGCCTGCTGGCCTGATTACTTGGTGTCCCTCTGTGCAGTGACAAACAACCTCCTGTAGGTAGGGAGAGGCCAGTGCTGGAAGTGGTGGTTGCAGAGGCTGGTGTGGGACAATTGCCCTGGGCCACCTTCCCAGGCTGTCCTGGAACAAGGACAAAGCCCAGGCCCTGCTCTGCTTCTGCCTCAGGTCCATGCCAGGAGCTCTGGCTGTGCCAGGACTCTGCTGTGAGCCCCCCATGCACACTCTCCCCCTGCCCCAGGCACTGGGCTTTGCTGTGCCAGGACATTCCTGGGGCACATTCCTGACAGCAGGAAATGGAGAGAGGGCAAAGCCTTCCTGCTCTGCCCTCAGGGGATGCCCTTTCCTGATGGAGCTGCTGTGCTTGAGCCCAGCTGTGTCCCAGCAGTGCCCATGGCCTGGCCCTGCCTGTGGTCACAGCAGGGACATGCAGCAGGACAGTGACCAAGCTGCCAGAGCACTCTGGCCTTGCACCCACAGCAGGGCTGGGAAAGAGAGTGTGGACTTGGGAAGAGCAGCTCTGAAAGGACCAAGTGCTGCTGCTCCCTGGCAGTGCTGCTGTGTTGGGACCCTTCCCTTTCCCCCCTATAACTTCATGCAGGTCCCAGAGTTGAGATCCCAAAAAAACAAGGCACTGCAAGGTCGTTTATTTTGTTCAAACAAAGCAATAGTACAGCTCCTGGATTACAGAGCTTCTGGATCAAATTCAAGAGGCAGACAGGGAATTAGGTGAGGGATGAATAGAAACATTTAATTGAGCACATTATGGCAAGAAGAATCCATCGGCATGACCAAATACCTGAGAAGGCAGAGACTGGGCCAGTCATGAGTTCCATTCTGAAAACTAAGCAGCAGAAAACAATCACTTCTTTGCTTCTGAAAAGTACCCAGTCATCTTTGTCCTCAGGGCATCCTTGAGCTCCTGGTTCCTCAGGCTGTAGATGAGGGGGTTCAGGGCAGGAGTCACCACCGAGTACAAAACTGACAGGGCCAGATCCAGGGATGGGGAGGACATGGAGGGGGGCTTCAGGTAGGCAAATACTGCAGTGCTGATAAACAGGAAGAGCACGGCCAGGTGAGGGAGACAGGTGGAAAAGGCTTTGTAGCGTCCCTGCTCAGAGGGGATCCTCAGTACAGCCCTGAAAATCTGCACATAGGAGAAAACAATGAACACAAAACAACCAACTAACAAAAAAGTACAAACTATGAGAAGCCCAAGTTCCCTGAGGTAGGAATTGGAGCAGGAGAGCTTGAGGATCTGAGGAATTTCACAGAAGAACTGGCCTAAGGCATTGCCATGGCACAGGGGCAGGGAAAATGTATTGACTGTGTGCATGACAGCGTAGAGAAAGCCACTGGCCCAGGCAGCTGCTGCCATGTGGGCACAAGCTCTGCTGCCCAGGAGGGTCCCGTAGTGCAGGGGTTTGCAGATGGACACGTAGCGATCATACGACATGACTGTGAGAAGGGCAAGCTCTGATCCAGAGAAGAAGAAAATCAGAAAAACCTGTGCAGCACATCCAGTGTAGGAGATGGTCCTGGTGTCCCAGAGGGAATTGTGCATGGCCTTGGGGACAGTGGTGCTTAGGAAGGCCATGTCAAGAACAGAGAGGTTGAGCAAGAAGAAGAACATGGGCGTGTGCAGGTGGTGGCCGCAGGCTACGGCGCTGATGATGAGGCCGTTGCCCAGGAGGGCAGCCAGGGAGATGCCCAGCAAGAGGCAGAAGTGCAGGAGCTGCAGCTGCCGCGTGTCTGCCAATGCCAGCAGGAGGAAGTGCCTGATGGAGCTGCTGTTGGACATTTGCAGTGTCTTGGCATGGGGATCTGTAAAAAAAGTAATCATGGTATAGTTGTGTTTGAAGAGGACTTTAAAAATCCCAGCACAGACTGGGGGCACTTTCCCCCCACTCCCTGCCCAGGGCTCTGCTGCCTGGAGCTGTCCCTGCCAGCAGCTGCTTCCCTGTGCCCAGGACTGGGCCCTGCCAGTGCTGCCAGAGCCCAGCCCAGCCCTGGGGACTCAGCTCTGCCCTGCAGACCCCTCCCAGCTCTGGCACTGCCCAGGGGCAGCTCTGGCTCTGCAGGCTCTGATCGCAACGTCAGAGCAACCCTGAGGAGGCTGGAAAAGCAACAAAGATGCCGCCGTCTGAGGGGCCCTGTGATGATTTCTGTCACTGCATGGTTTATTCTGGTCTATTGGGTTTTTTTTATTTATTCTCCACCTGAACTGAGAGATGAATATCTATATGCAATTTCCCATTCAGGCAAAACAGAGCAGTAGAATAAAAACCCAGGCTTTTCCCATTTATTGAAGCCATTCATTACAATGAACAGTAGTTTCTGAGAAAGAAAAGAATTAAAAGACCTGAGGAATAAAAGAATTAAAAGACACTCTATCAAGGGAAACACAGAAGTTAATAAATAACCTAAAATACATTGTTTGGGAAAACTTTGATTAGATAAGTTAATAAATAATCTAAAATACACTCACAAAAGAGACTTTGGAGTTAGAATATTTGAAGAAGCGAAAGTAGAAGCCAAAAAGTTAAGGTGACCTGCCAAGCCGTCAGAATCAAGCCAAGTGCAACAGTGATTTCTGCCAAGTCATGGAAAAACATGCCAAGGATGACAGGAAGATGCCCAAATTAGGAGAAGCTTAAAATTTAACTAAGGAAGACCAAGAGTTCCTGGAAAACCCCGCCTATACTCCTGCCTGCTTATTAATATGCATATAATAAATGATGTAATCCTTGTTCAAAATTGTATAAAAACCTGCTTTTGCTGTACCTGATTTAGAAATCCACTTGGTGATTTCTCCAACGCGTTGTCAATAAATACCTCCTGCCTATAGACCTCAAATCTAGTCTCTGGGCAGCTTATTATCGCCTTTTGGGGCAAAATTCGGCATCATTTTTGGCGACCGCGGCAGGACAGAAAGGGTCCTCCCGAGCCTTGGCTCAAGGGGGACCGGGATCTCTTCGGGGCCCTTGACGGAATTCTGTCAGAAGGGATCCCCATCCCCCAGCCAACGCGCAACGGTGGACAAGAACTTTCTGCATCTCCTGCTCCAAATTAAGAGGTATTTATCTTTGCTTAAGGGGTTTATGGTAAAGCGCTTTATTGGGAAACGAGGGTCAGACGTGACCGCTCGAAGGGAAGCCGGGGGACGCCCTGGTAAAGAATCCCAGTTGTGTTAGAGGTACGGTAATAGTAACGCAGGTTAGAGTCCTGCTGTGAGGAATATTTGTTTTTCGTAACGCAGGTTAGAGTCCTGCTGAAAGGAGTATTTGTTTTTCGTTTATCTTGGTATTCTTTGGAAGGAATATTGTTTTTCGTTTATCTTGGTATTTTTGGTTTGTTCTTATTATGTGGGAAACCGTTTTAACACTGTGTTTAATGTTATAATACTGTGAATTAAGGGTCAAGAACTGAAATTGTTCTCTGAGACCGGAAGAGAGGTCGGTCAGTTCGTGGTATTTTTGTGTCTGCTCTATGTGTCTGTTGCAAAATCTTACAGGAGGCGTCTTGTCACTCTTCATGTAATAGACGCACGTCTCAATCCCGGGAAGAAATTTGTCACCCCCTGCAATTGTTACGGTGCTTTGCGATTGCATGAATCTGGCAAACCGGTATCTCACGGTCTGTAGGCGACCTCTCGTGACCCTACCTGGTAAACAATCCGTTCTGATATAGACCATAAGGTAGGAACTATTTCATAAAGGTGTGTGGGTGAGAGTGAATGAGACGCAGCATCGCTGCGAAGCGAGAGGGAGTCCCACTCCGCATTTCCCGTTCTTCGCGAGAAGCCAGGTCGGAAACGGACAAAGCGATTGGAAATTGCGTGTATGAAGTGTTAAAATCAATTGGCATATAGTATTTGCGAGAAAGAGACTGTTCCGGTTAAACAGAAAACGCAGACACAGGAAATAGCAATGGGAGGTCAACAGAGTAAGGACGTAAATATGAAAACCCCCTTAGGATGTATCCTAAAGCACTGGAAGGACTTGGGAGGGATTCCGGGGGGAAACATAAGTAAAAAGACGCTCCTTAAATATTGCACACAGTGGTGGCCATTGTATAAGTTAGATGACAATGAGAAATGGCCACCGGAGGGAACAACTAATTATAACACTATTTTACAACTGATGCTTTTCCTCCGTCGACTTAATAAATGGGATGAAGTGATGTATGCTGACATGTTCTTTACCCTAAGAATAAACCAGAGTGGCAAAAAGAATGCGGGGTAAATGTAGCACCTCAGGACCCCCTAGTACTAGCTCTAGAAAAAGATAAGAAAGGTTCAAAGCCTAAAGAACGTTGCTGTGATGCATGTAGCATTGGGGAACAATGTCTTAAGCTAACGAGAAGAGATAGTGGAAAGGAGAGCGAAATAAGCCTGTGGGAATATCATCCATTCGCCCCAGGACGGGAAGGGCCTCTACCCAGGCCAAAAGAGGAACAAGGGGACCCTAGCCCATTAAAGGAACTGGAACGATGGTGGAAATCTAAGTTTGGGCGCAGCCCTCAGAAGCTAGACAACAGTTGGCAAGAAGGTAGCCCATCAAAATCGGGGGTTGAAAAGAGGGAAAGCAGCCCGCAGGGACCAGATAGTCCACAGGGGTCGGGGAGCTACAGGGATGCTGACAGCCACCCAGACTAGAAGTTGAGAGGGAAGAAGCCAGTCCACATGGAGCTGAAAGCCGAGGGGAGACACGCAGCCTGCCCGAACTAAGTCCATGTAGGGCTAGTAGCACACCTAAGGATGGAAGTTTAAGGAAATCAGGTACCTGTAGAATGGAAACTAGCACACCAAGGACTAGAGACAAAAGTAGCTCACTGGGAGGTGATGTCTCTGAGTTGAAATATAGTGAGAAGAATGACAATGAGGCATGCGAAAGAGAGGCAGAGAACAACTCACAAAAGCTGAATATAGTAATCCAGATAGAGGATAAGAGAGACGGAAGGGGAACGAAGATGAGGAGGACAGTAGCCCAGAACAGGACAGGCGTCAGCAGATGCGGGAAGAAAGGCGACAGATGCAGAGCGAGAGGCGGTTGGACTGTGTAAACCATGTTAGGGGAGTAGTAGGAAAAGAGTTGACAGAAATTGAAAGTGAAGATGAAGAACAGGGAAAGGGAAAGAGAAAAGAGAAGAGAAAGAATAGGGAAGACACTGAGGCGCAGGAAGAAGATCCCGGGGAGGGGATCAGTCACTCGTATTATACCAGATCTGTGGCACGGAGGGAAGCAAAGCAAAGAGAGGAAGGTAATCATACGATAGCTCCTCTCCGACAAATTATGCCAATGGTAGGGGAAAGGACTAGGGTAAAGGTGCCGTTCTCCACGAGTGACTTGAACAATTGGAGGGATGAGGCAAGGAACTTCAGGAGGAATCCAGAGGGAGTAGCGAAGAGGTTTGAATTAATGGCGAAGAATTTAGATATTGATTGGGAAGACATAGAGGTGATGCTTTCAGAATTGACAGATACCGAAAGGGAACTCGTATTAGAAACAGGAAAACGACATGCTCAAGTATTATCAGGGAGACTAGAAGATAATTTCCCCAGCAGTAAACCAGAATGGGACCCGGGCAACGAAGAGCACTATCGGAGGCTGGTGCAGTATAGAAAACTGATAGCGATGGGCTTGCGTAATGCGATCCCTAAGGCTATCAACTGGTCGATGCTATATGACATCAGGCAGGGAAAGGATGAGACCCCATCAGAGTTTTTGGATAGACTTAGGGCAGCCATGAGACAGTATACACCCCTGGACCCAGCAACGGAAGAAGGGAAACAACACCTGTTAGGATTAATGATGGGGCAGAGTAATCCAGACATCAGGAAGAAATTACAAAAGCTTGAGCATCCAGCAAATAAAAACCTGGAGGCATTGCTGAATGAGGCATGGAAGGTGTATAATAATAGGGAAATAGAGGAAAAGAAAAAAAGAAGATAAGAGGCTAGCTCGAATAGTGGCTGTAGCAGTAGGAGCTCAAAATACAAACTATGTGGGGCCTAACACCAGGGGTAGGGGTAGAGGCTACCCAGTGAGAGGGGGAGGGAGGTTCCAACCCCACCCAGCTAGAATAGGGCCAAACCAGTGTGCCTATTGCTTCCAAACGGGACACTGGAAACATGAGTGCCCTCAATTAAGAGAAAGATCAATGGACACTACTACTATCGCACATCAGGGCAGTGAATGAGGGGGACCGGTGGGCCGTACCCTAGCAGACCCACTGGTTAAAATGGAGGTAGGGGAAGGTAAAAAGGAATTGGATTTTTTTGATTGATACAGGAGCGACATTTTCGGTTTTAAATCAGGAATTGGTACCTAAGAGTGATGAATTCGTACAAGTTGTGGGAGCAACAGGCCAACCAGAAAAAGCTTACTTTTTGAAACCCATTAAATACAAAATTGGGAAACAAATGGGAATTCACCAGTTTCTGTATTTGCCAAATTCACCAAAGCCTCTACTAGGAAGAGACTTAGTGGAGAACTTGGGAGCCATAATAAAATTCAATAAAGACAAATTGGAATTTCAAGTAAGTGAAGAGCAACTGATTACAGCCTTAAGCCTAACAATCAGTTGTATAGAACCGAAGCCCGAAGGCCACAATATTGAGCGTATCCTGAGTGAAACATATCCATTAGTATGGGCTACCGATATACCTGGGAGATCAAAACAAGCAACACCTAT